AAGTTGGGTTTGGGACCCAATTATGGGTCATGAAGCACCTTGGATAATCTCCAGAAATCAATTTAAAGGGTAATAAAATAATTGCTGATGGAATATTTTCCCTATAATTATTACAAAAACACAAAATAAGTAAAATTAAGCATTTTTATTTGTGTATAAGCTGTTTAGATTGTCAAAAACCCTGTGTTTTTAGGGTTATTAACGAAATTTATGTACTCAGACCAGTAATATTTGGGGTCACAAGTTTTTGCCATGAATATTTTGTGGGTCAGAAGACAAAAAGTTTGGGAACCACTGGTCTAGTCTACCTGTTTCAGCTGCATATATCTCTGCTACAGTCATCTTCATGCTAGGCTGCACCTGTCTGCCTGTCTGCTGTGTCTTACTGATTTGTGGCATAAAGGTGTGATGGATTGCACAAACCAGTAGGGTGCCAGAATGGTATATGTGTGTGCTTCTTATCCAACCACCAATAACTTCATATTATCCAGAAAGTGCCAAATATCTGGGATTTTTTCTGTTTGTTTTTGAAAGTTGATAAGCCGAAATGAAATAACAAAGCTGTTTTGAAAATGTAAGGAGTAGAAGCAAAAAGTCGACAGAAAAATAATGACTCCTCTAAAGCAGAGATAACCTAACATTTCTACTTAAATAAAGTAACAAAGATTTTGTACTTTGTTACATTATACCTCTGCCTATTCCACATAGAACAAAGGATTTTTAGTTTTATCAAACAAAGTAGCACAAGTACTGTCCTTRTTCTACAAGGCTTTGCATCTACAGATTCACAATATACAGAGCTTTCTGATGTGCAGTACAGACATTTTGTCATCTTTTTCTCAGATGTAGTACTGACACAAAGCCAGCAGGTGTCACTCTTCTGTATGAAGTGAAGCAATTGAGTCAAAGTGGTTTATTGGTTCATCAGCTGCTTTTTTCTACGTTTTCTGTCGTRTCTATTAACCTGATCTTTTAACCAATGTTTCAGATCAGACAGATTTATGTTGTGAACTGGAGCTGAATACTTTACTGGAAGACTAATGACTACTGTCTTGTTATGCTTTTAGTTAGCTGGTGCTGATAGTTTCATTGTTTTATAAGTTAATAAATAGTACATACACGTGTTTTCCTGTCTAAAAGTTAGACATAAAGGAAAATAAAAACATATTCCAGTGTACGTCTAGCCTGGTAAAAACCAGCCCCTTGTTCTTTGCTTTGCTTCGTACTAATCTACGTTAGTTGTAATCTTTAAAACAAAAATGTACATAACTTTATAATTATATTAATTGAGGGGTTTAAATCCCATTCTCTGCAGTTAGCCAGAGGTTATTAAATGACACAGTATTATTTTACATTCAGTTTTCTGTCAGCAGCCTGATGAACACATCTGTTGTTGGTTTAGGTTTGGTTTGGTTTGGTTTGGGTTTAGGTTTGGTTTGGTTTGGTTTGGTTTGGTGTTTGGTTTGGTTGTTTCGTTGGGACAATTTAGAAATAGACTAAACATTTACAGGAGATCAGACTTCTCAGTATCTGTGAAATAAATAGCTACAGGTCTTACTAATACTTTGACAGTGAGATGCTCTGAACAGCTAAAAAAAAGTCATCCTTGGGTTGAGTTTCTTTATTTTTTGGAATTATTTAAACAATTTGGTGAAAGCTAAAAGGTATCCAAGTACCCTCCAGGTTCAATGTGTCTTATGATACAGAACAGAGCAGTGTGTTGTTGTTTTTTAAATTTTCTTTATTCTTTCTTAAACTGTGTTTTTTTTAACTATGAGGAAGAGGGGACTGAAAGGTTATCAAACTTGATCATGGGAGCCCTGCGTTTAATTTGTAAATAAAGTGAAGTGACTTGACATGAAGGAAAACATTCTGACAAACTAAGTTCCAGATCATTTTCAGCTTTAAACTTGTGTTGATGTCACCAACCATCAGCCCTGAACCACAGAATCTGGTGCCCACCTTGCTGAGGTCTCTCCTCAGAGCATCTGTGATGTCCTTCTGTCTCTCACAGATGAAGCTCTGCAGCTTCTTCAGCTGCTGGATCCTGAAGTCCAGAGGTTTGCTTCTGCCTGTCTGAAAGGCCCGCCTGGCCCGCTCCACGACCACCTGCTCCCGGGACATCTGGACAGAATAATACAAAAACACAGTCCACTCTTTGGATCAGTCTACAGCCATACGAGCCTATATAAAGCTCATTTACCCTGACCTGTTCTGGAAATATGAAAATATAGATAATTAGCAGAAGTGGATTCATTTAAGCTAACAAAATCCTTCAGTTCTTCTGTTAGACAAAATAAATCACAATGATGATCTAATAATCTACATTTATTACTTTTTTCAGTTCTAGTTATGTATTTGTGTTTATTTGTATACACATACATACATATACACATACATACATATACACATACATACATATACACATACATACATATACACATACACACATTTTAGGGCTGCAACGACACAGAAAATGCATTACACTACAAAATAATGCAAATAATGTTTAGAGCAAAACTAGGTGTGTTGTCTGCTGGGGTGAAAAGATTTTTTATAATATACGAATCTCAGTATGATCTGTGACATGTTATTAAATTTATAAAACGACAAGCTAAAAAGGAAATAAAAAGGAGGTCTGTAGGAATTAAAA